GCTTCTGGTAATAGCTATCGAATGCATACGAAGCATGGCTTTTCACATTATTCGGAGAGTAACAATCCTCCCCCGGCTGAATCTCCGAGCAATTTGCCCGCCCAGGTCCACATGCCCAATCCAATGCAGCCTGCAAACTCTTTCCATCCATCCCATCCATGGCAATGCAGTAGGTCTGGTTTGTTGTGTCATTAGCCAAAAAAGACCCACTCCCTGATACGTGAAGCAAATACACCGCACTTGAATTCCCATAAAACAGGCCCCAATTGGCCTCAGACACTGGCGGAGACCTCAAATCCTCATTGAACAATTCATAAATGTACACATTTGAAGTAATCTCAGGGTGCAAAGGGGTTCCACTACGATCCAAAACATGCTTGATAAGATTTGAATTGTATGTATCTGCATTGTCGACAGTAGCATAAGGCTCTTTAGAATCCCCCTTCGAAGGCCATCCGCTCTCCGAAACAAGAACCGTCACATCAGTAACATTAAGGTTTTTCATGGAAAAATAAGCAGCATCAATCATGGCATCCAGCACATTAGTATAATGTAGCAAAGTATTGGGATCCACCATCTCTTTCGACGGCGTAAGAGGCTTGAAAAGCGCATTGTCAAGAGGCACCACACCTTTGTTCTGCATAAACACATAGTAAGGATAGAGATTCATCATCAGCGGTGACCCGGTTTTCGACAAGAACTGAAGCAATGGGAGAACAATTTGGGTTAAGCTTTGGTTGAAGAACGCCTGAGACGGCGGAAACGGATCGAGAATTATCGAAGCGGCGTGAGGGGTCGAAATTTTCACATGGGTGTGTAAATTTGCAGCCACTAAAGCACTGTAAAGCGACTGAATTGCCGGAAGAAGCAGAGGAGCTGAAGAGGGCACGGTGGTTAACACCTCGTCGCCGACCGCAATGCCAGTGATGAGGGTTTGGGGGTAGTAAGCGACGACGTTTCGGCCGACCCAGGAAGCGGCGGTGGTGTTGGAAGAGCCGATGGCAAGAAGCTGGTTGTTGGGGACGCTGATGACGACCCGGATCTTGGTTTTGGACAGGGCTTTGAGGATGTCCGGGTCGGCATCGTAGAGGCGGATGTGGTTGATCTGCTGGAGTTGCAGAAACGAAACGAGGTCCGACGGAGACAGAAGATTCGAAACGTCCGTGCCAACGTTCACTCCGACGAACGGCTCTTTTTCTTGGTCCTGATTTTGCAGCTTGGTGGTTTTGAATGTCGGTGGAGAAGATGCGGCTGAAAGTGAAGAAAAGCCAGCAAGAAAAATGTGAGAATTGACCGAGAAAGTTGCTTGCTTTCATTAAAGTTTGGAAGTCCTGCTGGGTTTAAACTTCGAGATGAAGAAAACCCAGCAAGCAAAATGGTAGAAGTGGGCGAGAAAGTTGCTTGCTTTCATTAAATATTGGAACTACTGCTGGGTTTAAACTTCAAGATGAAGAAAACCCAGCAAGCAAAATGGTAGAATTGGTGAGAGAAGTTGCTTCCTTCCTTGATTTTTGGAAACTGTTGGGTTTAAACTTTGAATGAAGAAACCCAGCAAGCAAATGTTAGAATTGGTGAAAAAAGTTTCTTGCTTTCTAGATTTTTTTTTTAAATAACGGAGAAACCCAGCAAGAAAATGTTAGAATTGGTAGAAAAAGTTGCTTGGTTTCTGCGATTTTTGAATTATTTTGGGTAAACTTTAAAGTGCAGAAAACCCAGCAAAGAAAATATTAGGATTGGGTGAAGAAAGTTACTTACCTTTGGATGCAAAGACGAAGAAGAAGAGGAGGGTTGAGAGTGAGAGAAACTTAGTGACCGCCATTGGAGAGGAGCTTGAGCTTTGCTGCTTCCTCATCCTCTGTTTCTGGTTCAGCAGCTACAGATTCTTGCATTATCTTCCAAAAGACTTCTTTTTCTGCTGTTGGTTTTATTTAATTTAATTTCTTTTTTTCTCTGGGATTTTGGTTGTTGACCCAAAGAGATCTAACTTTCATGAGAGAGTGAGTCATTGAGTTGTTCTCAGGGTTTACTGGATATTTGTAAGGAAAATAAGGGAGCTGCTTCAATTAATTTACCAAAATGGCCTTGTTTTTGAAGAGGGTTGGTGCACTTTCTTTGATTCTTTTGCCTTCTGGTTGGGTTGCCACCAAAAGGCAAATAGTTCTGAAGGAAGGGAAATACTTGGAAATTTAAAGCACTTTCTGGAGCTGGTGCTACTGTTGGTTTGCCACTTGCCAGTCGAATGTTGGGACTTATATTAAATGAATAATTGGCCAAGAAAAAATGATTAAATAAATAAATAAAAGGACCATAAAGTAAAAAAAAATATATATATATATATATAAAACGTGGCTTACTTCTGAACCTTTGAGATGATGTTTCTAACTTTCTTTCATTAACAGGCTGGCTTCCTGCTTCTCTCTCAAGTGTGTGGTTCACATTTTTGACTTCAAATTCCTTTGCACTATGTTTCCACAAACGAAATAAATTTAAAATTTTGATTAAAGTCATAATTTATAAATTGATATACATCAATTTTCTTATTTAGATTCATAAATAAAGAAATTTAGAATTTCCACATAGAAAAAAAATTTGAAATTTGGGACATCCAATTCCTTAGTTTAAATTCCATATAAATGTGTTATTTCTCAATTTCTATGATTAAGAGTTTAAAAATAACAAATTCCGTATTCAATTCCATTATTTTTTTTTTGTTGACCAAACAAGAAAATAAAATCCTGTTATTTTAAAATTCCTTAGTAATCTTAAATTTCTTCATCCAAACATAATGTTAAGAATTTACATGCAATTAGAACGTAAATGTAAATGAAACATAAATGGGGTAGTACTTAAGTTCATCAATCAATTTTCACATGTTTTACTTTACTCACATATATAACATCATGTGGTTGTTTGAAATATCTTCACTTTAAACTCACGATTTCATGCAAATTTCTCTCAATAACAATGTTACTATTAAGAATATTGTTAAAGCATTAAATATACGAAATTTTAACGGAAAGCTCTTGGTACTGTTTACTTTAACAAAAAAATCATATTTTTACACTAAAAAATCAATTCTGGTACTATTTATTTTACCCTTTATTTTGTTCTTATCATTAAAACTTAAATTTTTTAATCCCTTTTTATTAGTTTTCCTTAAAATATACAGTATTTTGTTGCTATCGTGGTATTTCAAACAAATCAATCCACTGTTGTACATTTTAAATGTTTTACATGACAGTGGAGTAAAGGGAAAAGACATTGCCAGCCAAAAATGTCTTTCCAAGGACGAGCACCCGCAGGGTTTTCTTGGGTAGCAAACAAAGCACAGACCAATAAATTACACAGTATCTACAGTACTATATGCAGCAGTGAGTCACGAGAACGACAGCTTACAGGGTAAGGCCGTGAGGGTGGGTCACCAAATACAAATGCCTTCTCTTGTTTTGCACACTATCAAATTAGTTTGATAAAACAAGACTCTCAATCCCACAGTTTTCTGCATTTTTGTTTATAATTATATTCTTCACCAAACACCACGCAACTATATGCATGCATTCCTTGTTTATATGTAACCGGAAAGATGCCCCCTCTCTTCTCGCTTTGCATGAGTGCGGTAAGAGATGACATATATCCGGTTACATTCAAGGTTTTTTCGTCTACATTGCCTTTAAGAATCATTTATCGAAAAGAGAACTTTAACAATATAAAAAGGTTATGTTTTCAAACTGCAAAAGAATGTAATTATGTTTATGTAAATGTTGATCACCAATAACATGTATAAATTCCATGTTTTCTTAACGGTAACATAGAGAAAGCTATGCCCTCTGAATATAATCATGAAAAAGGGACTGGGCAGAGGAAAGGTGTTTTTGGTGGGTTAAAGAAACATGGAAATAAAGGGTGGAGATTCTCAGACAGCAATTTGGAAAGGGGATCCTAAGAATTTGGAAGTACAACAATATTTATTTACATCCTGTAAGTTTGGATTTACAACAATAACTATGTCATCGATTAGATCTCATTCCTTAACTAGGACTAGTAGTTGCATGTGTCTTCCATATGCTTGAAATGTCTAATCTACTGTTCAATCTTATTGATGGACTATTCTTTTTATTGTGTTTGGACGAGGGATTACCAACTAGCGTCAGATTCAGACAATATTAGCAAAGAAATACATTACAAAAGCTCATATGAGGTTAGAAGTTTGGAACCAAAAATTGAAATCGAACACGGACCAAATCGAATCACACTGAACGGTTCAGTTTTTATGGTTTTGAAATGATTTCAGTTTGAAACCTAACTGCAAGCTGAAAAAACAATTTGGTTTGGTTTCTTATATCTAGAACTGAACCGGACCGCATAATATAAAAAATATTGAATTTAATAGCCAATTAGGTGTTGGGGTGTAATTGGTTATTTTAAAATTGTTTTGCCACTTTTGTATGCTTTTTAAAGTTTATATTAATTAATGTAATTTATATTGTTTATGTTTTTGTAATGTGTAGAGTTGTCCAATTCAAATTCAAGCATCCTCTCTCATACTCTTAATCCACAACCACAATAACAAGTTCCTAGGGAATCTCAAGCTTCCAGCTCATAAATTTCAAAGACTTCTCATCCAACTGTTTCACTTTCACAAGATCGAAGGCCTAGACTTCTCAAGGCTGTTAACAAACTCAAGGGCATCCAAAACCTTTAAAGAATAAGTGTCTAAAAAGAAAGAAAAATAAAAAATGTTGAACGATTCAATGTAGTAACTTTAAACATCAAAACTTTTACGTTGAATTATCTGAACAATTTACTTTTTCAGGTTTTTTCGGGTTTTACTAATGCCATAAGACATTTTGATGTAGAACTCTGTTTGAACGTTGTTTGAACTTTAGTAGCTTTGTAATGCTCGAATGTAAATATATTCAGCTATTTATCATTTAACTAGTTTGAGAAAGCACAAAGTTAATAAACTTTTACCAAGAACAATGCCGCAGCAAAAATGTCAATGCTACAAGAAAACATAACTTTTATCCATTTCCGAAATCAGAAATCACTCACTGTAGACCAAAAGGAAAATTACAAGAGCCCTATCGTCTTGTCCCAAAAAAGAAGAGGCTAAATTGAGAATACAAAGGACTTGTGACATTCTTTTGAGAAACAGAGACAATTCTAAAACACAGATTCAATGAAGAAGAATCGATAGCATTTATCGGCGATGGTTCGCCAACGAATGTTGACTTCACCATTTAGGTACGGAGATGAATGGCGCCGGGATTACTTTCTACGAACGTTTCAAAACTTCAGTTGGTTACCTAAGGGCATTGACGAACGCCATCAATGAATCGACGTCCCTCTTCTCCGTTGGGTACTTGATCGGCTGAGAAGAGTGTTTGGGGAAGAAGAGTATTGTGGGGAAGCTTGTGAGCTGCAGTTCTTTCTGGGCAAACTCCTTTTGCTCTCCATCTGCTCTGAACTTGCCCACTTTCACACTGCTCCCCGCCAACTTGTCAGCCAACTCAACGTATGATGCTTCCATTGCCTGGCAAAACGGGCACCACGGTGCATAGAGCACTACAATCCATGGTTCTTTCCGGTCCTCAAGTTTTGCCAAATTTTCTATTCCAGTTCGGGTTAAGGTGACTAGATTCTGGGAAGTGAATATATCAGTTTCCGTGGCAGCACCAATTGACTGTGCATCCATGCCATTTTGGCCTCCTTCCTGTTTAATATTGCCCTTGTGAAGACCGCATTCCTTCGCCTTGGCGTCCTCCCACCACCACCTTCCTTCTCTCTCATGTTGCCCCGGTAGGACTGACCTTGTGCATGGCTCGCAACCAATTGAGATGTACCCTTGCGAGTGCAGTGAATTCACAGGTACATTCATGGCACGCAGAAAGTTCCATATGTCATGACCCGCGACATTTGCCACTGGGTTCCACTTCACCAAGCTGCCAGCACCACCATCCAGTCCCTCGAAAACAGGGGTCAACCTGGACAACCGGAATTTCAGATCTAGTCCCCGGAGATTGATCTTTCCTTTGTCCGGTGATCCAGGCGCGTAGCCCCTTGAGAGCCCTCCTCAGGGGTCTCACCTTCCTCACGCGGCAGCACTCCTGATGCCCATCCTCATAGAAAGAGAACAGCCCTTTGGTCCTTACTAATGCCTGAACTTCAACAGCATCCGGAAACATGTATTCAATGCGGATGCCGTAGTGCTTCTCTACTGTGTCAAAGAACTGATACGTTTCGGGGTTCAGCCTTCCAGTATCCAAGCTGAAAACCCTATAGGGTCTACCGGTTAAATGCGCATACTCAATCAACGCAACATCCTCCGCTCCGCTGCAAAAACAGAGTTTTTCGTTATTAACAACAACAAAATGGACTAACAATCAAATCCATTTCATTTGGCGCCTCAAGCAATAATCAGAATGCATAAACTAAACAAAACTCCCGGCAATCAGATCAATTCATCGTAAAACCTTAATTTTCGTTAACATACTAGAAACACACGAACACCATTCGAGGCAAAGTGATGAGACAAGAATACAGCAGCCAGGCTGCTGACATCAAATCCCCAAACGTAGTTTACTATCAGCAAAAGTTCCATCTTTTATCCGTATTCCCACTGCATTCAATACCGAGTACGTCCACATTTAATGAGATACTTAATCATCCATACAACGACCACATCCCACAAGCATTCATTTAATTTTTTGACACAGTAATTCTTAGGAGGCGTTTTAATTGACAATAAATATTATATCTTTCAAACAATTTCCACCCTCAATGCATAATTCCCTCGTCACCATGAAACTTTACAAGATATTCTCATAGCATACAGTCATACAATGCATTCAGGTTTAATTTCAGATTGCCAAATGACAATTAACCGGAAAAACGTTGCACATTCAGTTTTTAGCTATACATTTCACTAACATTCATCAAAATTAAGTTAGATAATGAAAAACAATACTGCAGAGGTTGGACTACCTGAAAGCAATGGCGATATCGTTGCCGAATTTCTCAAGCGCCTTGTCCATAATCTCAAGAGGGGAGGCGTTCTCGAGCTCTTTAGCCAATTGCGCATAGTCCTCCACCTCTACTTTCTCAACCACCTCTGCAAAAATCACAAACTTTCAGTACAACCACAAAAATAAAAAATAAAAAAACCAAAGAAATCTCCAATAAGTGAAACAAATTTCCAATCTTTACCCGGAGCAACGGTTGTCGCTATGGAAGGAACAATGGACTCGCTCCGCTTCGGCTGCGCATTCACCGGCCTCACCGAGCTCCGCCGCTGAGAAAACGTCACGGCTTGGCGTTGAATTTGACCGTACGATCGATCAAACACCCGAATAGGAACTCAACTGCGGAGCTGCAAATTCCAAAACCCGAAATCCAAACTCGTTAATTCACATCCCAAATCAAAATTTCCAAACTTCTCAGTCCAATCAAAATATTAATTAAAAATTAGGAAAAAATTTGTACCTTTGGGTTCTGAGGAGGGAGTGAAGGTACGACCAGAGATCGAAGCAGATGAAGAAGAAGTAACAGCGAGAGCCATTCTCAGAAACGATTTTCTGATTTCGATTTCAAATCCTCTGTTTTTTGCTCTGTGATTTTGGAAACACCCGGTTTATGATTAGCAGGCCAATGTTAATATGTTTATATAAACAGGGCTATTAACGGGGCGGCCATTCAGGTTCATTGAACCTGGACGTTATTCCGTACCAGAGCCCCCCGCAATACCTGATGACGTGGCGGCTTACGATTCGTGGGCTCGATCTATGTAGTCATCGCTTTCGTCACATGGTGTGGGCCCGGCCGAGAGAGTCCCTGCCTGCCGGGTGGTGGGAAAGTACATGGAGGCGAGAGGGCAGCCTTTCCCTTCCCTTGGTGGTCCCTTTTTTGTCATGTTCTTCGGGGCCTTTTTCTAAAATTCCAAATTATTAGCGACCAAATGAAAATTCACATTTTCCCATAAACAAAAATTGAAAATCCACAATGTTTGTTAATTTTCTGGATCATAAGATTCTTGGTTGGTTTTCCTTTGCGAGTCCGGATCGCGAGGATCTTAGGGATCCAAAAAGAATTCAACGAAGATTCATGAATCATGCCTATTCATCGTACATTGTACGATCAGAAATCATTTTAAATATTTTATTTAAAAATAAACACAAACAGTAATTGATAAAAACTAATCACACGATGTACGATTTACGGATACAATTTACGGATCTCTAAGATCCTCACATAAAGGATTAGGAGAGGATCTTGTTGGTCCCTTTGCCTCCCCTCAATTTTTCATACAAGTCTTTGTGGTTGAGCTTATAACAAAAAGTGCATTGGATTACGCAAGGTCGGGTATAAAATAAGAATACGATAGTATTGTATTACAACACTATGTGCATTAGATTCAATATACTTTAAATAAAGAGTGGTACAATACGTATATCATTAGTATTTTATACATCTTCCTCATGCAAAAAAAAATTATACAAGAATTAGCATCGTTACCGTAACTTCTTTAGATTAAAGTCAAGGTTTTGAAAACCCTATTTACAAACTACAATTCAAATTTCAAAAAATATAACAATAAGTTGATTACACGATACAACCAAGTCTAATTACAAACAAACTTTTGAAAAACAAATAACAGAAATGCTATCAGATAAAGTTTGTTGGCTAAGTAAACAAACTCAAGAGTTTGTATTCGAAAAGGAAACACGACTCAGTCATTGCATGAACAAAGTCCTCCAGATCCTTGCGCCATGTGGAAACACAGACAATCTTGTACGTGCGAGAAATATTTTCAATGCATGGGAGCTGTAGAACTTCACCCCTAAGGGTTAAGAGCATCGAACAAGTAGCATGAACCTGTTATTTTGCTAACTTTAAAGCCAATCAAGTTGCAGAAAGCAAAATGCACATCGTACAGAAAGCCGGCGCAGAAAATCTTCCAGTTTGGAAGAGCCTGTTTATATACAATCGCACTAGCTTCGTCGTGGCCAGTGCCAGTAGTGTATTTGAATGGGTGCAAGCCTATCTGGCGGTTGCGGTTAGGAGTCTCAAACTCAGCGAGAAGAATAAGTTGAGGTAGGTGGACATGGGCAGCACAGAAGGCAGCAGAATTAAGCCAACGTGAAATATGCAGCGGCGCAAAGAATGGGGAGTCAATGAAATTTAGGACGGTCTTGGAAACACACCGGAACTGACAGAGTGAGTCGACTGCCGACTGCAGCTCATAAGGATGTCGACGAGGATATTCATGGCAGGTCCATCAATGTTTTTGGCTTTGTGCTTCTCTAATTAAAACACTTCTTCGTCAGCGGCACCACCGGAAACATTGCTTTGCAGCAAGAATATTATTGATCTTTGTTCAAGAGTACTAAAAAATGAAATTGTGCTACGTGCTTAATATAATATAATTGAGTTCAAATAAATGAACGAGAAACAATGAAATTTGACCTTGATAATTAAATAGGCAAATTGTTTCGATTCAGGTCGTTAAAATTCGATGTGGAGCCCGCACCTAATCCCTATTTTTTTTCAAAAAAAAAAAAAGAATTCCTTTGCATAAATGACCTATGTATATATTTATTGTACTAGGGTTGGGCTTTTTATTGTTAGGATTACGGTTAGGGTTGGGCTTGTTATTGTTAGGGCTAGGTTTAGGGCTATGATAGGGTCGGGGGTTTTTTTTTGTTAGGGTTAGGTCCATCAACAGTCTCTACCATTGCAGGGGCTGGCACACCAGCTGCACAATTTCAAGCAAACACAAGTGCTTATTTGTTTCGTAGAACAATTAAATTACAACCACCATAAATTTGAGCAATCAATTTGTAAGACGATTAAATACCAAATATCAAGTTGAGCATCTAGATCCTACTACTATGTATAATAATACATGATGTACTGTCCGTATTTCGAGCACACTAATAAATCTCTTCATAATGAGAGCATAAACCAACAATTCAACTATAGTTTTGGAGATTCTCCTTGCATGTCTGCATGTCCTATTTTTGTTGGCGGTGTGGTGACATGTAGGAATGAATGATAAAAAGATGCATTTGCCCTTTAATTTGACGGTATGTTCTTTATTCTTTAATTGATTGCTCTTTAATTTTACACTCTTTAGATTTGAAGTGATTTTCACATTTGACTACGAGTTTTTAATTTTTTTTCAATTTGAAGTGATTTTCACATTTGACTATGAGTTTATAATTTCACATTACAACTTGAGGTCTTAAATTGTATCAATTTAGGTGTTTTCTCTAACAATTTTTTTGAATTTTATTAAATTGATGACATAGTAGGCGTGTAACTCATAATTAGATTGACATGTAAGCCATATTTGAACCAAATTGACTAAAAAACTCATCAATTTAAAGAAGAATTAGACGTTCAAATAAACAAAAAATATAAATTGTTACAACTACAAAACTTTCAGTGCAATGTAAAAAAATTGAACTCTCTTCTCTTTATTTTTTTAATAAACGATATTATTTACACTAAGGGAACGAGGTGGGATTGACTTAGCCTCACGAGAGGCTAACAATAATATAATTCAAATTCGTCTTTGTCGAGAATTAAACCTAAAACTTTTCACTTACAAATAAAGATAAATACCACTAAACCGTAGTATTAAGTGGCAACTCCCTTCTATTTTCTTAGTTAAACAATTATCAATTCATTTGAACAACGACTTCCAAGCCATTTTTTCCCCTTTTACCATTTACCCTTTACCCTTTTTGAGAGATTAACCGTTTCAAAATTAGGGTTTATAAAACGTAATGCTCGCAGCTCGAACTCTCAAGAAGAAAAAAAAAAGATTTTTTATCCACTAACAAAATATACGCGGAAAGGATTCGAGGTGTGGCCATATTGTGACAACAAGCTCCAAAAAGAGGCTCATTGCTGACCACAACTTTTTATGTCCCTCCATCTTCATCTTTATCGGTGCACACATGTGGTCCATTTTGACATTGACAATACTCTACCACTTGACCTAGCAAATAGATTGTATTTGTCGTGTTCTACTTATTATCTTAATACATTATATTGTATCAAAATTGTTATTTAACGAAATTTTAACAAGTGACTTTATAACGATTAATTTTTTTACAGAATTGTATCATTCTATGGAGACGTGACATGTCATGCAAGAAAATGTTATGTATAATGTTTAGATTTGATCAACAATATCATATCAAGTTCTTAACAGGTCATCAGTTAAAAATCAGTTCGTTAACAAATTATAATAAAATAACCCAATAATAACCTGACTCATTAACAAATTGACTTAAAATCGATTGGCATTGAAATAATAAATTGTGTAAGGAATTCTCAGGCTTATCTATTAACCAAACTAGCAATTAGCCGTTTTGTTCTAAATTTGTATACTGACCATAAACATGGCCAGAAACAAAAACGTGCACCTATTTTTTATTTTATTTTATGAGTAACTGATGATCCTAATCACGTGGACCGACTTAGGGGCTCCACGTAGCATCTGAAATGTCCATTGAAGACATGCAGAGAGAACAAGTGTCCAAATTCCGGACGAAACGACCGGCTTTCCATTTTTCCGCATTGCTAAGTCAAGGAAAGAAATTCTGATGCCTTCCATCTACTATTTCTCGTCAAACAATTTGGATCTTTAAAATTTAATTCAACAATTAAAATTATAATACATTTTAAAGTGGATCTATGTTTTTAACTGTTTGATAAAATTTCAAGAATCTGAATAATTTAATAAGAAGGATTAAGTGGAAGAGATTCGAAGATAATCATAAGTCATCAGAGCACATTAATTCCATTTGTAACAGTCCTCTCTGATTGGTCCACGTATTAATTTGCAAGAAAATGATATAAGAAAGACTAATAAAAAAGATTTAAAAATTTTGAGTTTTAACGATAAAAACAAAAGAAAAAGTAAAGTAAATAATACCAGAATTAATTTTTAAATATAAAAATATAATTTTTCGTTAAAATAAATAGTATCGCGAACTTTTCGTTATGAGCTCGTGCTCACGGAAGTGTCCAGATATACTAGCTCACTGATCACAACAGTCAGAACACTCGAAAATGGCCGAAGCTGAGGGAAAATCCGTCGCTCCAAACGCCGAGATTTTGGAATGGCCGAAGAAGGACAAGCGCCGGTTCCTCCACGCCGTGTACCGCGTCGGCGATCTCGATCGCAGCATCAAGTACGTTACTTTCTGACATCACCGGTCATGATAGATGATCGATTCAATTTCCACGATTTCAATTTTTTCAATTTTATCGATTTCAAATTCAACTGTTTGTTTTTCGGAAAATAATTGCAGGTTTTATACGGAGGCTTTGGGGATGAAGCTGTTGAGGAAGAGGGACATACCGGAGGAGAAATACTCGAATGCGTTTCTGGGATATGGGCCCGAAGATTCTCACTTCGTGGTTGAATTGACGTACAACTACGGAGTTTCTTCTTATGACATCGGCACTGGTTTCGGGCATTTCGCCATCGCTACTCCCGATGTAAGTGGTCGAATGGCAAGATTTAAGAAACTTATTTACTTGTATCTGTAATCCGAAATACACTGTAGCGGTATCTCAAGCCAATCGCATACGCCATGCAATTTAAGACTGCGGCGTTGGTTTGGAATACTGTTCTTCTCCAGGGTATTGGTTATATGTGTATTGAAAATTCGGGAATTCAGCTTGTTGTTTCTGAATGCGATGATCGTGTGGAATTTGGGATTTTGTAGGTTAAAAAACTGGTGGAAGATGTTCGTGCTAAGGGTGGAAATGTGACGAGGGAGCCTGGCCCTGTGAAGGCGGGACGAGCATCATAGCCTTTGTGAAGGATCCTGATGGTTACACGTTTGAGATTATCCAGCGGCCCTCCACCCCTGAGCCACTTTGCCAAGTCATGCTCCGCGTTGGTGATCTCGAACGCTCTATCAAGTTCTATGAGAAGGTACTCATTTAAGCCAAGCATAGGCATTAAAAAATTATCAGGCTTTGATATGATTCAGCTTGGAATTTTGCTAGCATACTTTCCATGTAGCAATTTCAGCACATTGGATAAATACTACGATCCTGTTGAATTTTGAACAGGTCGTCTTGAATTATATAAGATGGCTTGGATCTTACTACTTGTCTTCTTCAGATACATGATCATGGTTTCTTAATCTTGTCCGATGTCTTGGCTTTCCTTCTGTGCAGGCATTGGGGTTGAAGCTGTTGAGGACGATTGAGAGGCCCGAATACAAGGTAGTTAATCCTCTCTTAGTAGTATGTTTATGAGCGGCTCCTTGGCCCCATCATCTTTATACACAAAGGCTTATTGAATCATCCCGTTTTTCGTGTTGCATCCAATTTACAGTACACCATAGCCATTTTGGGATATGCAGAAGAAGACCAGACAACAATCTTGGAGTTGACCTATAACTATGGTGTTACCGAATACACTAAAGGAAATGCGTATGCACAGGTTGACATGTTTTGCCACTTATTTCATTTTTTTTTTTTTTTTTTTTAAGTCAATCAATTTCTGCTATCCTGATACATTTGTATCTTATATGTTACTAGATTGCTATCAGTACTGATGATGTCTACAAAAGTGCCGAGGCTGTCAACTTGGTTACACAAGAGCTTGGAGGAAAGATAACCAGACAGCCAGGACCAATTCCTGGGCTCAACACCAAGATCACCTCTTTTCTCGATCCCGATGGCTGGAAAACTGTGAGTTTTCACTTGTTTACTTGTTGCCCAACTTTCTATTTAGGTGTTGGATCTTTCTATCATACGCATCATTGTTTTATCGTTCTGCACGCCATTAGTCCGCCTCTTTGCTTAGATCGTATCTAATACATCTAACAATTTAGAGGCGATGCATCATTAGCGGTTGAGCTGATTACTACGGTTCCTGACGATGTGCTTGTAGGTCCTGGTTGACAACGAGGATTTCCTGAGGAACTGCAGCAGTAAGCAAGAGTAGTTGCAATGAAGGGAGACTAGTAAAGATGTGGTTGGAGAGACCATATATTATGAATAAGATAATCCGCTTTCAGTATTAGTATGGTTGCGTATGCTTGCTCGTCGGTTGTAAGAACACTTGTGTGTTACTTTGCTTGTAATGTTTAATGCAACTTGCGACTGTAAGACTATCTGTCTAGTTTAACATGGTTGTCCGACTCTTATATTATGATTGTTACTTGAGCTTCACCATCCCGTCATCAATTCCGATGTTTCTAGTCTTGCCGGATTTATAGAGCTTCAGAGTTTCATATTTTCTGAACGGAGTTTCCACTCCGTAAACCCGCAAACGAGATTGCGGGTCGAACACCTAAGAGCCAAGCGTGCAATGATGATGGACAGAGCAGAAAGCATCACAAGCTGTCTTTAATCTTAACACACAAATCTCAGTATTTCATAAATCCTGCGGTGTTGTTCACAGATTGTACTTTGGGTGTATGTTGTATCCAGATATCACGACAGTCCAGAAACAGTAAAAACCCCCGTTCGGAGGAAATAAAGAATGATACATGGTCGAAAAGGAAAGAAAAATGTTGAAGCTTTGCGAGGATTTGTCTCCTCGTTGAAGTTTGATCTGTGCTTGCGGCTTCAGCGCCCACAATTTCAGATATATACAGCATTTGAAGCTTGATCTGTGTTCGCATGTCCGGAATTGAGCCCAAGAAACGACTGCCTTCTACGGAATCGTGCCCTTTGGGTAGCAACCAAGGACACGAAGAAACCTTGCAAATTCCTGCAAAACAAAGCAATACGCCCTTAAACCACCTATGCCTTGTGCTGAGGAGTGGAGAGGTTTGAGAGGAAGACGTTGTAGTTTCAAGCTTCAGTGTGTCACCATGTGGCAAAACCTCCGGTACAAAATAAAAGTTTTCGGAAGTTGCGAAATAAAGAACGCGTATCTAAGTTATACGAGACTAACCTTCAGATGTTCCAACGCATATTGGGCACGGGGATCCGCCATAGAAGCTTCAAAGTCGATGTAAAAGAGGTAATCGAAATACCTGCCATAACAGATCGATCAATCAATTCTGTAGAATGGAATTTTTGTGGCAACCTTACCCGTATTAAGAGTCATATCATGACTATGAATCTAGGGTTCTTTATTGTTATGCAAATTAGTATATACCGCGGCTCAGGTTTTGCGCGGATGTGCAAAACTTATCATATTCTACATTTGGTGCAAAAGAGTACCACTCACTTGGCACTCCCTTCATTCGAATCATCCACAATCCTTAGAGGACGTTGCTTCTGTGGGCGGCTCTCTATCTGGAAATTGCTCCAAAAGGAGAAGATTTGTCAATGCTATACGCATGGTGGTGAGCATGAAAGAAAACAAAAAATGAGTAACTAAGTGTACCTTTGTCAAGTTAATGCCCCTAAGAGCAAAAACTGCTAAGGCTTTAAATAGTACACCAGGACCTTCTTCAAGAGTGAAAACAACGCTCGTCTATGAAGAAAATTTATACATAAATATTCATAAGATTAAACGAAAACAAAGATACGTAAAAGCAAAAAACAAAACAAATCAAAGTAGAGATCTATACCTTATATGGCCGGTCAGACCCTGGAATTATCGGTTCTCTTCCAAGTATCAAAAAGCGAGTGATATTATCGTCATCATCCTGGCCAGGGCAAAGTGGTAGGAAATTAAATCAAGTGGTGTCATTAGTAATCCACAGCAGCCATCGTCTTAATGAAAGAAAAGAGGTGCATAATAAGGTTAAAACAATCCAAACTATTCATCCACAACATCTGAGAGGGTGATGCATCTTTGCAGTATGAGTTAGCATATTGTAAAAGAAATGCAAATACTCAAAACAAGAAAATTTGACATGTGGAACTCTGCGTAATGCCTGGAAAGAATAGCTTGCAGACGCCCTACCAAACTGTCATGCTGAGAAGAAACTTTCCAGTATGCCGGGTTGACTGTGTCAAAATACCATTGGTTGGATATTCTTTTATTAGGCTTCCAACCAATTGTGTTATTACACGGTGTGTACCGGGCCGTGTTCCCGGCACACTAAAAAATCTCTCCATGATCAGACGATAGTGAAGTTACAACTTCTGCTTTCTTAAGAAAGGAGGTCAATTCTCAATCCGTCCAGATGTTTACCATATCAATACCAAAGTAATGTTCAAACAAGCCAGCTTAACTTATATATTAAATCCAAAAAAGGAATCTAAAAGAATAGCCTTACTTGAATTTTTTCTGCAAGAATGTCAAGCCCATAAATATTTGCAGCTCGAGCACTTGCAACAGCACCAGTATCTCGTAGGCCAGTTGAGGCTACCATCTGTATAAAATGTCCCAACCCTTAGTATATAAACACCCTCAATTCCTATCACAGTCACAGAATACAGAAGACATATTGATAACCTGTGCAGCCAGAGCACTGTCATCGGTATTGATTCTGATGATACCCAAACTGCTTAGCGTCATCTCACACTGAGCAAAAGCCTGCAAGTGAAATGTCCGCAAAAAAAAAGAAAACGTTTAAAGACCTAAGTCTTTCATGTTCAAAGATTAGTTTCAATATGCATGCATGTGCAAATTTTCTGCGGTCAAACCAAATAGAAGACAGCTAAAAAGTGCTAGACCAAGACCTATGACCACATTTTGCTACAAGTTCCAGTGCCAAGAAAATAATCACAATCTGCTAGTACCGTATGGTGGTTGTGGAAACGCTGCTAGTAGACGTTATAAGACAAGCCAATTATGGAGGAGCTCCACAAAAGAGCATTTCAAAACTTGCTAGCTATTATACATAGATTTTCCTTTTCGGCTGTGCTACAAAGCAATTAAGAACGTAAGACTACCCAACTGGGAAACATTTTTATTGTTGCAAATGGGCAATTTGATGACACAATGATATGAGCGTTCATGCCATATGTACTGAACAGGTCAGATAATATATCCATCAGCTGTCTGCTTATGCAAATAGAAAGAAAAAAAAAATACATGAAAGACCAACCTGATAATGGCTTAAAACACGTTTTAGTTCCTCTTTTCTTGCACCAGGCAATCCCAGGAGACAATGGTTCACTTGCAATTGTACCTCTCCAACTATGTGCAGTCTGTGGTGAAGTAGTAAGTCATAATTACGGTGGATGCTTCCACCTACAGAATTCTCAATGGGAAGAACTGCTTTATCCACCAACCAAAGTTCAACTGCCTGTTAAAGGAAAAATTAACTTAATCAAGGGACACAAACAGGTATACATAAATTTTTTTAAAAAAATGAAAACTAACAAAAAATATTATTCAACCTTGAATGCAGCTTCAAACTGGTCACATGGGACGGTCTCACACTTCGGATAAGCTTTTACTGCAGCGGCCTCACTATATGCCCCTGGTAACCCCTAAAATGGGAAATACAACATACATAAGAGCAAAAAAAAAAAAATATATATATATATATATATATTCTATGAACGCCAAAAGAATGTAAGTAATTAATGAGAAGATTTACCTGATAAGCAACTCTCACTTTTGAACCGTCACGAGGAGAAAAGTCATTTGCTGTCAATGGTTCTACAATTAATTCACATTCAAGCTATGAGAAGTGAGTGACAAGAAACAATTGTAAGATAAATTGAAAAGATAAGACCACTACAATGAAGAATTATAGTAGCACACTGGACAACGAGAAATACAAAAATCACTGAGAAAGTCAAATAAACAATTCCGGAGACAACTCATTCCCATAAACTACAACTAAGCTATTTTTTCAGTATTTGGATGTGGACACACTTACAAAATCTGATTGTTCCATTGCATTTTGAAATCAACCTGTTGGATTGCTCTAAAATATTTCCAAGAGATAATATATTTAGGTGGGATTGTCAGGGCTTTGATCCCATTTTAGAACCCACCTGACCATGGTCCATATTTGTAATCCAAGGATGAAATTTCGTATATGACCATCCAGGATATTTCCACTTTTTTAAGCCACCAATATAAGGGGGCGGACAGAAATGACCTAGATTACAGCAACATGCCGTTTAGATATTGATGGACTTTAGCATTAGAGTGAATTAGCAAGATATCTTCAAAAGTTCTTTTGCAGTGGATATACAACCGAATTTCATTGCTAAATCTATTGGTTTCCAGAAAAGAGATACATCAAGAAATAGACAGTACTCAAATTTGTCATCTTTGAAAAGTTTTTCGAAGTTTCCATCAATAACGGTATTTCCATAAATTTGAATACCGTTATTTCCACCAACATCGGGCATCTGAAAGAGTAAGGTGCTTACTAGTGCTCACTGCCAAGCCATAATGGAAATCCTCCTACCTAGTCCTCACTGTCATGTCATAAATTTCATGTAATTTTTTGCCTACATTTCATTTGATCCTACCCTAATCTAAATGTTTAGGCCGAATCAGTTAAATGCACCGATGCTACAGTTGTCAAACAAAATCTACTTCATGATGAAAACTCCAAAGTACCAATAGCCATCACAGAAAATAAAGCTACTGAATTTAACCTTGTTCTGCATTGTAAAGGAGCTAAACGATTCTGCATTGCCCAACAACTAATCAAAGTACAACGTTGTTCTTCAATTACTAAATTTATATCCTCCAATCCAACATACAAGTACCCGATTGACAATTAAAAGTATAGAAATTGAGCAAAACACAAAATTAAGAGCTTTTGCAGAACTCACTAGGAAGAAGGTTCAAATCCTTGTGAAACTCCCTGGACTTATTGTCCTCAATCCGTTCCATTGCACCTGAAGACTCGGCGGCGCAGGTAAGGCTCGGCTTCTCATCTTCCACCGGCGTGATAGCTCTCTGGGCGGAAGCAACAGCCAAACAAGAACACTCCCATTTGCGGAAATTCAAATTCAAAGCCAACTCAGAGTGGTTCGAGCTCAAATCTGAGACACCCTGATGAGAATAAGGGGTTTTAGCACAAACCCAGATGGATGCAGCCTTCGCAGCCATCAATGAATCAATCAGCTGAAATTTGCACTGAACCCAGAAATGCAAATAGCAAAAAGACCAAGTCTTTAAGGCAAATCCGGGCTCATGAGAGAGGAGGTTGGTGAGGGGGTTGTTGGATAAAGCCCCGTATGCACATTGTCAAGGTCGATGAAAATGGTGGCTGGTGACGGACCCCACAAAATTGTGTTAGAGTGAGAAACATGTAAGAAAAGAGAAATCCTTTGGGATTGAAAAGTTTAGAACTTCGAGGGTTTTAGAGAGAGAAAGGGAGAGAGAGACCGACAGGGCGAAGAAATTAGAGAGGAAAGGAGTTTACAAGGGTAGGTGAGCAAGAATGTTGTTGGACACACGCTGCCTCCCGCAGCCTCCGGTAAAACAAAAACAAAGAAAAAGAATGGAAACTAGGAAAGTTTTCAGTATATATATAATATCCAATACTTTTTTTTTTTTTTTTTAGTACAACGATATATTTTGTACAAAAATGAAAGAGTTTGGCTAAGCTACATACTAAATAACCTAATTTAATATTAAATTCATTATTGACGAAATTCAAATATAACATCTCTCATTTATAAATAAAAAGAAATATCATTATATTGTAGTACTAAAATACAATTATTTATGAAAATGATCTGCATTTGAGAGAGAGAGGGTCGTTGTGGGGCTAAATTGGGAGAAACCTATCACTATTCACTGTGCTGCTTGTGATTTGTATCCAATCGTATGCATGTTTGGATGTACGAGTAGAACCTAACATTTCTGCTGAGGAAAGGGTAATTACTTTTCAAATTTGTTTCAATTTTCTATTAATTACGTCTTTACTTTGATGGATTGAATGCTGGACTCCTTCTAATTCTTTTAAGTTTTCCACGTTTACATTCATACAGTGTTTAAAATGTTGATATAAATGAAAATATTGATATGTAAATTTATGAAATATAAACGGATATATTGATATCGGTTGCCTTCAACATAAATTATGGAAATTAGCAATTGAGTGAGTGTATTATTATCAACTCATTTAAATTTAGTTGAAATTAGAGAAAATGTTCTCAAAAAAGGAAAAAAAAAAATCAAAAGTTCCCAACAAATTTTCCGTATTGAATTGGTAAATATTATCGATATTCATTGATTTTCTTATATCTCGCTGATATAAGATGAAGTTTGCATTTCACCTATTTACATATCGATTCTTGATTTCTTTTTCTTTTCTTTTTTTATATATTTTGACAAAAATATGAACAACTTTGTGGATATTTTAAAGCATTCATATGAGATTATAAGATTTAACTTTCTTTTCGTTTAATAACACATATAAATTGTCACTTAGTAAGCGAAAAATCTTAGATTCGAATCTCATAGATGACGAATTCGATACCAAATTAGGTTGTCTATTATATGGTTTAGCCGAATTTTCTTTTCCTTAATGTAAAATATATCAGTTATACTCAGCAAAAAAAAAAAAAAAAACACATAAATTGGATAGGTTGTGAGTTTCACTTAACAATTCGTAGTTCAATACTTTGAAAATCACGTGTCAAATCAACTAGAAGGACCAGTTGATCTGATACTCTTTACTTACATTGTTTAGAAGTTCCCTTCTTCTTTACTTCTTTCGCTTTTGTTAAACACGTCACAAGTTATTCCACCATAATATAATTGTCTTGGTCTCCATTTGACTACTTTACAAAATACTAATAGAAGTCATTATCTTCCATGTAACAGGTCAATACCTACCAATGGGCCTTGCGTCTAGAATCGGACGTTGCTCCTAAATTTTAAATTCAAAATGAAGGCTGTAATATTACGGTTTAGTGGTATTTATCTGCATTTGTAAATGAGAGATATTAGGTTTGATTCTCACCAAAGACGAATTTGAATCAGATCATTGTTAGCCTATTGTGAGGCTGATCTCACCTCTTCTCCCATTAGTGTATATAATATCGTTTGTTAAACAAACAAATAAAACACTTAAAATAAAAAATAAAAAATAAAAACTTTTGTAGTCAATTTTTTGGGGTCTCGAAGGCGCGTGGAAACACATAAGAACTCTTGAATAGAAATGGAAAAGAGATGTAACTCCAGTTTCTTTGGAAATGGCAAGATCTTTAGTAACAAGAAGGAGGTGGTGAGCTTCCCGGCCTCTTAAAATATGGATTGTCATGGCAAAGTCATTAACCTGATCCCCTTTAAGAAAACAAAAATTATACAACAATATTAATATGCTGTTTATTTATCTATATGATAATTATTGTTCGATAAGAGAAACGTAAATACTAATGAAGGTTGAAGTATTGTATATTTTTTGGAAGTGTTCTACCATTTGAAGCAACTAAATGAGAATCAATGATTGGAAAGAGAGAACGTATGAAATTCGAGAGTTAAAACTTAAAACGTTTATATTTGACGTATGAGTAGATGTTTTACAATCAATGCTACTAAACGCGTTTTAAAGTCCAAAAGAGAGAACGTATGAAATTCGATAATTAAATTTCTATATTTACAGATGACGTTTTATCACAGTGGCAAAAAACAATCATGTTTATAACACATATACAAGTTTCTGCCATTGAAGTTACTAAATGAGAATTAACGTACTATGAAAGTTAAACTGTCCGAGGAGAGTTAAACTTGTATCATAATTGTACAACCAGTGTTCTACCATTACAGACATAATTAGCCTATCAAATTTGGGCCGTAGATGTTCAGTCTTAAACCCACTGGACCCGGTCCTGGTGATCCACTAATATAACCTGCTGTATGGGCCATTGCATCACCATATTGCAGCCCACTAAAACATTTAAGATGGATTCTTTCACTTCCCAAACCAGGGCCCAAAAAGCCCATGAAAGAGTTCAAGCCTTAATAGAAGAAGCCCTAATCAATTATCAAAGATGCTACATGATGTGTAGATTGCAATTGATCATTCGTTGACTATTGTTAACATGAAATGAGCTTGGACTAAAATCTAATAAAAAAAAGTAGTTGGTTTCTTACGTGTCAAAAATCATTTATCTTACAGACAACTCACAGTGGAACAAGTGCATAAATTTATTTTCCTTTTATATTTTAAAATAAAGTACTTTGCCGAAGTGACAGGGTCTAGATTGAAAATAAACAAAATGAATGAGGCCAACAACACTCAGTCTCATAATTATTCATTTACGCAACGCATATTATAAGCTGAACTAAGCTAAATTATATGATGATAAATTCAAACTTTTGTACATAAAAACACGACGTAAAGTCAATACGTCGGAGAGTAAAAAAAGTGAATGAGCCCAACAATGCTCAGTCTCATGATTATTCATTTACACAAGGCATATTATAAGCTGAACTAAGCTAAATTATATGATGATAAATTCAAACTTACGTACATAACAACATGACGTAAAGTCAATACGAGGGAGAGTTCACAACACACAGGTTGAAATGTACTTGCAACAAATTGGTCGTCCAAAATAAAGAGAAGTAGTTTGAGATGATCGGTCATAGCAAAATCAGGGAGGGTACTTTTACTTTATCAGGAATGTATATATTGTATGCCTATTGCATTGGTTAGAGTGAAATGAAATCCGGTTGGAATTGGATTTGGTCGAGCTCGAGGCAAACACGCTCCCTGTTTATCTCCAGTGACATGTCAAATTAGACGCTGACTAATCGGTCTTCCCCCACCAACAAAACAATCAAGGGCCCACTAATATCGAACCCAGATCCTCTTTGGATCTCAAAAAATGAGTTTAAAGATCAAATAATTTGGATCGTTGAAATTTGATCTCACGGTTACAAGGAGAAGATCCATTTAAAAGTTATAATAATTGTAACTATTATATCAATTTTCTAATCATTTGATCCTTAGGCTCAGTTTTTGGAAATCCGGAGATGATCTAGGTTCACTAATATCATTCTCTAATTCCTCCACTTTTTTATTTTCAATTATGTTTTTTTTTTGTATAAACATATCTATTACTATTTTTTTGAAGAATTTTAAAATATAATACATGAGAGTAAACTTATTTCTATTAATTAATAAAACATTTTTTGTCAATCAAAAGAGAGTGAAAAGAAACATTAGTCTTCTATCACACAAAAAAAATGATGGATAATAATGTAATTTCATAGGTCCAAATTTTACTGTTTCTTATTGAAGCCTCATCTATAAGTGATGTTAAAATATCTCTAATATTAAAAAAAAAATTAAAAAACAAAACAAAAAAATTAAAAACAAAAACCTCTCACTTCCCCCACGTTCTCTCTCATTCTCATTTTTTTTTAAATGCGTTTATACATACAAAGTGTGTAAGTAAATGCTAGTAAAATTTAAATAAACAAATTTTTATAGTTTGTATGATAATTATTATTATTATTGGATGGACAAATTAAACCCCAAAAAAAGGAAAACGACAGAAATTCAAAGGACGACGACGAAAAAACAAAGAAAGGAAACGGAAGCAGAATAAAAGTAGTCGGATGGAAATAAAACATCCCGACGCCTTGACTGACACAACCCCTAGAAATCCACCCAAAGTCGTGCCGATTAATTCACATTTACGATACTACCCTCTCGTTCTCCCATAACATTCTCTCCTCCTTTACTCGGTTAAAACGCCCACACTGAACACACCCAACTCCCCCTGCGCAGGCAAACCATGGCCAAATCGTCGGCGAGCTCAACGACGTCGTTCCCGCCGCTCAAGCCCGACGACTACTCCCACAGCCCCGTGCACTACGCCGTCGTTTTGTCAGACCACACCACACTCTCCCGAATCGTCGCCACCCTCCCCCGACTTGCCGATCCGACTCAGATCCACACCGAGTCCGACTCCCTCTCCCAGGAACGAACCGCGGACCGGATCTCGTCCGTGCTCGACCGCCGCGACGTTCCCTACAGAGAAACCCCTCTCCACCTCGCCGTCCGACTAAACAACGCTGTCTCCGCTAAAATTTTGGCCTCCGCCGGCGCCGACGTGTCACTCCAGAACTCCGCCGGCTGGAATCCCTTACAGGAAGCATTGTGTCGCCGGAGCTCCGACGTCGCTTTAATCCTTCTCCGGCTCCACCACCGTTCGGCTTGGGCTAAGTGGCGCCGCCGCCTGCCACGTGCAATCGCCGTGCTCCGGAGAATGCGGGATTTTTACATGGAGATCTCGTTCCACTTCGAGAGCTCCGTCATTCCCTTCGTCGGAAAGATCGCTCCCTCCGACACGTACAAGATCTGGAAGCGCGACGGCAATTTGCGCGCAGACACGTCGCTGGCCGGATTCGACGGATTGAAGATCCAGCGCGCCGATCAGAGCTTCCTATTCCTCGGCGACGGCGATCAGAGCCACGACGTTCCCCCGGGATCGCTGCTCGTCTTGAACCGCGACGAACGGAAAATCTTCGACGCTTTCGAGAATGCCGGGTCGCCGATGAGCGAGTCGGACATCGCCGGGTTCTGCGCCCAGACGAGTGTGTACCGCCCCGGCATGGACGTCACCAGGGCCGAGCTGGTCGGGAGGACCAATTGGAGGAGGCAGGAGAAAACGGAGAGCGTCGGAGAGTGCAAAGCTCGAGTGTACGAAATTCACAACGTCGTGTTCAGCTTCCGCTCGAGAAAAGTCGCCAATGGCGATGCTGACGTGGCGGGGAGCGAGCAGGTGCTTCCTCTTGAGCTCGACGAGGACGACGACGGGTTTTTGGTAGCGGAGAATCCGAGCTTCGGAATTCCCGACGGCCGGAGGCACAGTAGCTTCGTGAGGGAGGAGAGGGAGTTCGTGGCATTGGGGAGAAAAAGCGTCGACGTTTCGTCAATTTCCGGGCCGCCGTCGAGGAGGTCTAAAACGGCCACTATTGTGGCAGCACCAGTGCAGACGAAAGAGAAAGAGTTCGTGAGGAGCTTGAGGCCGTGCGTTTGGCTGACGGAGCAGTTTCCGTTGAAGACGGAGGAGCTGCTGCCGTTACTGGACATCTTGGCGAACAAGGTGAAGGCCGTTAGGAGGATGAGGGAGTTGCTCACCACCAAGTTCCCGCCAGGGACTTTTCCGGTTAAGGTAAGGGCATTTTGGATATTTCAGTTAGTTGGGGTCCCAATTGGGATTGGGTGGGCCCGGATGGGTACGGGGGGTCGTCGAGTTTTATTTTATTTTATTTTTTTGTCTGTTTTGTTTGCTTTGGTGTTTTACCCTTTCATGCTTGTGGCGAGTGAAACTGTGCGTTTTAATGGATCCCATAAGCGAATCATATCATTAGATGATATCGTACGTTTAGAAGCTTTTTGTGGGGCCTCGGTGGTCGTGATTCGACGTGGGACGCTTTGGTTTGTCGCGTTCCTTATTTGACCGTCGAAAAGTCTTGGGTGCAACGGTCCGACCACCTCATTCATGCGACATTGTGATTGCTCGAATGCCTTTCGTGCGAGAGCTATAGCACGTATCACGTGTTCGGCTCGTCACACTTAAGTGAAATCGGCATTTGAGTATCCTTGTGTTTACGGTTAGGTATAGTTACACTCGAGTTACAGAAGCGGACTAAATCAGTTCTTAGATAGTATGTTCGACTTGTTACACTCGAGTTACCATCTCAAGAAAAATACAGCTTCATTGGCCTTTGATTTTGCCATGTCATTAACGGTTAAACTGTCACGGTTGAATGTGGATTTGATTTAAAATTTATGTGGTAGTTGTGATTTTGTGTACAACTAGCTTAGTTTAGCTTGTGGTGTTGTTTGGTGATGGACAGGTGGCAATACCGGTGGTCCCAACGGTGAGAGTGGTGATAACATTCACAAAGTTCGTTCAGCTTCCGCCAACTGAGCAATTCTTCACTCCAATGTCAAGCCCCAGACAATTTCTTCATGAAGGGCGAGGCCAACAAGAGGAGGAACACAAGTCCAAGCCACAAAAACCATCCTCCTTTTCATCGTCGTCGTCGTGGCTGAGGCGGAGCAGCAGCCAGTCGGGGTCTTCCGTGAGCAAGCAGAACCACCACCACCAACACCAACACCAACACTGTGCTCCCCCGGCAGTGTCTCCAGCGCAAGACTCTTCTGACCCCTTCGCCATTCCTAGCGGTTATACGTGGACGAGCATCGAGGACAAGTCTCGCAAAATGAAGAAATCCAAGTCCAGCAGGAGATCAATATCCAAGTAATTAACTTGTGTAATCTTTTGACATATTGATAGATTGATTGTACATATATTATCATATCAGTTCTTCGGTCATTTGTGTTCAATTACAACGCTTTCTCCTGCAACCTCGATTGCTTACTTCTTTCCAATCAAAGAACTCCGCACGACTTGGCCAATCAAGAAAGGCCTTGGGATGCATTCGTCCATGGTAATCGAGAACGTCTGCTTTGTTCCCACGATCAAGTACTCCCTTGACTGGTATTTTTTCGGCAGGTTTATGTGTTTGGAGATTGGAGTGGTAGTGTTTTGTTGGAGTGTAAAAACCGTTTTCTAACAATGAATGATTGCGTGGTAGAAAGTTGTAAGTACTCGTGAGTCATTACACTTTTACTTGAAAAAGCACCCACTAGAACTAGATGCATATTCAAGAACTACTAACAAGTGCTTTTTAAAGAAGCACTTGGATTTTCAATAAAATTGTCTCCAGTGTTTATAATGTTAAGGCCACTGATCTCCAGATCAGGAAAGGCTAATAATGTTTAACCAAAGTGAGATCATTTGATAAAATGATGTTTTGAACTTGGAGCTCTAAGGGTTTAAGCTTTGAACCATGCTTCATTGCTGAAACAAAAGCAACTAGTGCTGTTGAAAAAGCAATCACAAATGAATACGTGCCTGAATAATTGAAATTGACAACTATACTCGAACACTTCTTCATTTGTGATTAGGTTTCAGCAATACTTGCTGCTCTTCTTTCAACAGCGAAGCATGGTTCTTACACTTTAAAGTCTACTTAAAATATTTTGAGCTTCTTCTACGGATCCATCCATGGACTTCTCTCTTTTTTCTCCTTTGTAGGTGATGTGAAAAATTCCGTCATCATCCTAATTTTCTTCATCGACAGCAGACAAGGCTTGTATAGCAACAATGGAAGAATTATTATACAGTTTTATTTTATTTTATTGCTACAACGGAACAAAAAGGATTAATTGTCATTTTATTTAATTTATGCTATTAATTATGTATAGGAATCGATGGGATAGACACAAGTTGAGTTTGTTAGAGCGAATTGACTTAGATAACAACCAGATTCAAGGTAAATATGTATGTATTGAAAGAGAAATCGATAACAATTTTAAATTTTTGTTCGAGTTGAAAGTAGAAAGTGGATAACTCGGGTGAGTTATCTTATTTATATTCAAGCTAATTTCCTTCAGCAAACACAGCCACACAATTCCCTTCTATTTGAACAATCACGATTAAACTTTGTCAACGTCTTTCGTTGACTTCTTTATAGAGAGAATTAAACAAAAACGAAAAATGAGAAATGAGAGAAAAAGATTTGAAGAAAAGAGAATCTTGCTCCGTTGAATACAGAGTTGGGAGAGATGCCTTGGTTGTTAAGGAAAAGATGCTCTGTGCCTCTGGACGACTAGGAATCAATGATGATGATGATCAGAGATTGCCCAATGAAAGAAAGGGAAAATACCAAACGATGCTTTGCTTGCTTCTCTGGACGTCATGAGTTGGCAAACTCCTTTTTCCTTTTTATTTTTTACTTTATAAATTTGAAGAAAAAAGTAAAAGAGTGACGTCAAATTTATAAAAAAGAGGTGAAGGTGATAGACAGAGAGAGACAGCCCATCCTTCATCCCATGTGCTGTCTCAATAAATACAACTTACAACTACGCCTCACTTGTTTTCTTTCGGTTAAACTACACCATCTTTCTAAATCTACACGCGAGCTAGCTAGCCTCTCTCTCTCCTCTCCAGGTACTCTCTCTCTCTCTATCTCACTCATGTTCTTGGTATCTCATATTCCATGCTGGGTTCAGATCTCCATCTGCTACCAATAATCAAAGAAAATATGAAGAAATCTCTGCAAATTTTGAATGCGTTACCACTGTTAGATTGATACTTGTCAAATTATTTTGCTATGGTTTATGGAAACAGGTGGTGGTTGGAGACTTTTGAGACAAGTGATGGCTGCCGAAGCACCGGGGTGGGCCGATCAGTGGGGCGCCGGAGGCATTGGCGCACTGGAAGATGCAGAGAGCGCCAAAACGGCAGAAAACGACAGCAGCAACAAGAAGGCAGAGACCAAGTCTGGCTTAGGCAAGGCCAAGGTGGCTGCAATGGCTGGCGCTGAGAAGATCAAGAGCGGCACATCCAACGGCATCAAATGGATCAAAAATCAGTGCCAGAAGAAAAAAACAACCAAACCAGTAAACTAGAAGCGTTCGATATCCAGAAAGTTCAACTGTTTGTTGTCTAAGTGTTGATTTGTGATTATTTTTGCCTGTTTGGTGTGTAAGAATGTTGGAATACCAATCGTATTAAACCTTGGGAAGTAATCTTAACACAACTTTTCCCCTTTTCCTCTCTCCCCCGCTCACTACTTATTTTACCGTTGGATCGAAATATACATAGGTGTGCGGAAATTATTCCTTGAACTTTAGATGCGTTACGTATAGAACTAGAACCTCAGGACGAGTCTTGACACAACGAAAATGTTGCTTCTTTGTGACTAAAAAATCACTTGTTCGAATTGTGAAAACAACCTCTACGCATACAATCAAGGTTCTCCACGACCCTCGTAAAACGGAAACCTTGTTGGCTTGAGATCGCCCTTTACATATAGCACTAGAATCTGCACATTCATTTCCAACTGTAACAAAATATCAACTTCCATGGCCAACGAGCAGATCTACTTCATGCACAAATAAAAATAAAAACCCAATTCTGATTTCCGACCGTGAGATAAAACAGATAACTGGAGTTAAACCATTCATTAACATACTTTGAAATTCTAATGCCAAGAATTTACATTTGCTCGGTTCTATTTACAATCATTCTTGCTCTTAAAAGGAACCGAAGACATTCTCTCCGCTGTAGGTCAAGTAAAGAAATCCATCCTCGTCCTTGTTCTCGTCATAAATTGTAGACATCAGAGCAGCTGTAACATAGGAAAAAAATATTACTACCCCAACTTTGGAAGAATATATATATATATATATATATATACACACACAGACACACACACAATGCCTAAAACATAAATGAATTGCAACTGACCATTAGGAGGGAGTGTGTTATTGACAAAGATAAATATAGCCTTTTCTGCACCGAGCTTGATCCTCTTCCGAACAACATAAACAAATTGCCCAACATTGAGATCGGCAGGGACAAGGTATCTGTGTAGAGAAACATAGCAGCAAAACCACGTGAGAACCCCTTGATTTTAGCGACGTACGAATGAACTTGGAGTTTGCCATTGTAATAAGTAGATGATCAAGACCACTCTTAATTACTCCTAGGATATCACCTTAGATATGGAATCGTTATTCCCCACAAATGTTTTAATAAAGTTCAATTTTTAAATGATATAGACATGACTAGAACCCCCTCCGTGCATATAAATCGCATGTGTATGTCAAAATGCACAACTTACACTATAAACTATTTACTATACAGAGAATATATCAGATGTATAAACAAAAATAGCACAATCCTCTTGCATGGTAGTAATACATATGAACAAGAACTAAAGCGGAAGGGAATTAGCTACTAACTTCTTCTTATCAATGTCAGGAATGTCACTCCTTGCAGCCTTCTCCACAATCACCTGCATGGAAGCTCAAATTAGCAAAGAGCGTAACCCTGAAAACACAGGAAGTACACGTATTTGATTCAGTAAAACTCTTACCGGAATTCTGTCAGGATACTTCTCCCTGATACGACTAGCTTCTGCTTGCCTCCTTTCTGAAATTAGTTAGTCCAAGACCATCACCAAATCAATGTGAATGAAAAGTTGGCCAAATACTAATTCCATAAGAGTTTTATTTTATTTTTATGGATAATTCCGTAAAGAATTAAAGACAGCCTTCCACAAAGATTATGCTCCCATGACGATAACAATGATGGACATTCCACGAAACAAAATTCAACCTTTAGCCAACAAAAAGTCTACAATTTAGAAAACCACCACTCAATTCAATCAAACAAACAAGTCGGATAGAAAACCTGAGACTGATTTAAAATACCAAACAGAAGCTATTGATAAGATTGTACACAAAGGTCGATATTCTAGAACCCCACAACTTAAATCTATCAAAAACAAGTTCGATAGAAGAACTCATGTCAAAGGAAGACCGATGATTATAATCCCACGATTTAATTCCATTGAACAAACAAGTTTGATATCAGAACAAGTTCGATCAAAAAACTCATACCAAAATTTAAACAATACCAAGCAGAAGCAATCGATAAAAACCAAAACTTTTGTTTTATAAAATTGAAAAGACATAAACTTTTATCTGCAAATCATCCTTCAATCCAACGGGGCCACAATCCATAATTCAGGTTCAAGAACGAGACATAAAAAACTACAATCAACCAATTAAAGAAAACAAAACAGGCATATGGGTATTCCAGAAACCATACAAATACCCAACAAAATTAAAAATTAAAAGCATACCCAGAGTATGTTCAAGCTTGAACGAGCTTTTGGCCATGGCGGAATTCTCACTGCGATTGATCTCTGCAAATTTCAAACAAGACATCACAAAATTGACAATTCCCTCCTACCCAAAAATGGTATAACAAGATTAAAAACAAATACAGCAAGAAAACGTTGCGGGATCAAACTTACCAGACAAGGAAAGGAAATGATTATGGTTTTCTGGGGATTGGAGGACTGGGAAATGAACAGAGAGTCAAAATCAATCAGCGACGGACGGAGAGAATTATTGAAGGCAAAATATTCACAAACACAAACACATACAATTAGTATTATATAAATTAGAGAGACTTGAATTGTTAGGGTTCCTTTCGATTCCCACACGTAATCTGTTGACTTGCAACCTTTATCTATCTCTCCTTTCGATTCGCTGTGTTTCAAGACTATCTCTCCTCTCTCTCCTAGGTCGCGTCACCAATTTGTTGATACGAACGACGTCGTTGCGTTTTAATTTTTTTTTTTTTTTAAACAGTTTTAATATCTACCAACTTTTTTGAAATTAGATGTGTCATGACAAATGCATATAATGCTAAGAAAATTAAATTTTTAAATAAAAAAGAAATTATAAATCAAATGATGTCATTAATAAAAAATAAGTACGTTAATCGATACTTAATCAATAATCCAATCATCTACAACCACATTATTTAATTTTAAAATATTTGGTCTCACCCACCAAAGGGAGTTTTGAATTTTTATTGAAATATCATTTATTTTAAAGGTATTTTCATTGCATTGTAAATTTCTTAAGACATTTCATTCGCCGGAAATCCATCTTGGATGAAAGAAATCATTTATCGTCCCTGTAAGACCTTATGTGTATACTGTTTCAACTCTCACAAAACGGAAAGGCTTAATGGCTTGAAATCGTCCTTTTTACTGTTTTAACAGTACTACTAAACAATCATCAATGAGAGTGAAGGCAACAAATATTATAATATTGCTTTGAAAGCAAAATGCAGCAAATGCAGTTGATTTTAAAGGTTACTACTTATTAAGAAACATAGTGTCCATGGCAGAGAACTTACAATCTATGTCCCCGCCATCAAAAGAATGGGGTGTTAAGTATCTATCTCATCATCTCTTTAGTCTTTCCAGCTGCCGTTGGGGTTAATTTCACGAGCAATGATGCTTATCGCACCCCCAACAACAATGTTGTTCCCTTAAACTGTAATCATTCTATATTTTGGTATTACATACATCTATCACCAGCAATAAGCCGGAAAGAAGAACAAAACACGTCTGCATGCCTTCTTCAGGCTATCCGCACATCACTCGTGAGATTGGATGAACATCAACCAGTTACTGAGAAAATCTTGCCCTCCAAATGGCATTCTTGTCTTCACCACAGTGCTCGTGAATGCCCATCATCCTCTCAGTAGACTTACAAATCCCGCTGCATCGCCAATCAAATGAAGCAGCGCAGGTGTTGCCTGCCATTTTCTTCCACATACAATCTGCAGCACATATTACACCATCAACTCTATATAGAATGCGCGCAAGCAGAATTTTATCTGTTTCTCTACTGCTAGATTTCATGTTATGTAATTACATATTACCTGGCGTCGTACCACAGCAGAGTCTTCTATCGTCCACCTGTTCTACGTCTAAACCAATAAACCAAGATCCCAACGAAACATCTTCATTGGCATATTTGTGCAGCACATCCCTTCAACAAGAGAAAAGAAGAAGAAGAAAGAAATAAGAATCAAATTAAAAGGTTAAAGGCAATTTGAGAAGCAACTCTTTCCAAGCAGAATTTTATTTAGCTCCGTAAATGGAGACAAGGTGAGAACTTACTGGTTTATTGATATGTAAGTTGCCAAATCTTTTGAGATAGCATATAACTGTCCCGTAGCATGCCGAAAATACTTGTTTCCTATCCCACCAAATTTCCAAAACTCTGGCTCATGGTATTTCACTCCCCTATTACACAATAAAAACACCATGAAAATCATGTTCATCAATACCTGAGCATACATCCAGCTAAAAATAACAGACCACTCGCTTACTTTCGAGCAAGGACTGGACCTGACTTCATGCAGCCAATATAGACTCGGGGTTTCGGACGGTGTCTAGATAAAATCATTCCAAGCGTTGCTATGGTAAATGAAAGGCAAATCAACTCAACAAGATGGAAAAGGGGTTAAATCGAAATGCTGAGAAAAATAGTGTTAGCAACAGAGCCTGAGCAACTTTAGGAAAATGAACAGATGTGGAAAAGAATCTTAAATTTATGTTACCTAAATTTACATGGACATCATCATCAACTTTGATATAAAATTCAGCATCCCACAAGGCAACAGCTGTCGAAAAATACAGTCTTTGTTTTGCCTGATAATTCCAGGTATCCTTCAACATGGTCCTGCAAATATAATATGAATTAGAAATTGTGTAAAATGCAGTGGTACAAGGAATAATATATTTCTGATTAAAATGGACAAGAAAATCACCAGCCTCAGGAAGTCTCCATGGACGCGCTCCTCTGCTTCAACCGCTTTATCAAGAATACCACCAGCTGTCGAACTAGTTAAAATAGGAAAATCAACAAATATTCATAATTTACCAGTTCATATTCAATAGCCTGGATGGATCATTAGGAACGAGAAAAAAAATAGACATTGTATCTGTCTCAGCGCTGAAATAACTAGATATGTGCATAACCATTAACCAGATTAGCTATGAATTTAGTTTTTGACAACGCTTGAAAGAAGGCATGGTAAACCTCACCTGTGACCTATAACAAACCGTATAATTATGCCCTTCTCTTCTTCGAGCTTCTTTCTATCCTCACCTGGTAAAGATTTTTACAACGAGAAACCATTAATTATAGCTAGAATAAGAAGCTCAAATATCACTTTAACATCGCAAGTAAATTAAACCTAAATGCATAATGCACCTTGAGGCATCCAAGTTGCACGTACTGAATCTCTTCTTTTTCGGCTATTAAAAGCTGTATTGATCCCTATAAACATGAAGTACTTTTTTTTCGAAGTTGATTGAACAGTCTTCAAGTTTCCTGAGTTAGGATATCCATTATGTACAGATTCATGAGTTGCCCTAGCAGCGGCTAATTTCATCTCCAAATCTGAAATCGTTTTATTTAGCTCCCTGCATGCATGAATAGAAATATGCTTCGTGTTTTAGTACTTCAAGACACAACAACATTTCTTGTAAGATAAAGCATCAGCAGAGCTTACTGAATCACTTGATTAGTAGCTTCCGCTGAATTGTCACTGGTTGTGTGCTTTAAAACCTTCAAAGATAGGCAAAAAGTTGAGGAAAAAATTACAACAAGAGAAGCATCATTGACAAAGGATTAATACGGTGTAGTTACAGATTCATATGAAGGAAAGAAGTGTAAATTACATAGACCTCTCCCAAAAGTTTTGTGAAACTACAGAATCCTCCCTCATATTTTGAGACATGACACTGCCCTCCAGTATCACAGTGAAACTTAATTGATCAGCTAAGAAATGATGATAAAGAATACTTCAAAGCCGATATGTCCTTGAAGAAACAAAATCCCTTCTAACTATTTCTCATGAAACGTGTCCCGTGGTGAGACTGCAAATACTTCCATTTGAAACTACAGACCAGAATTCGTTTTCCCCTTATCGAAGAAATCTACCCTCAGTCAAAGATTTGAAGTATATCCGCATGGTACGACTAATATTTGTAAGAAATTTCATAAGCTACAAAATCTCATTATTCTTTGAAGTTCGTTTGATCCATGACCAAATTCGAGCTATCAAAAGATGGCCACATTCTCAAGAACTATTTGCCACGCAAATTAAAACTAGAAAACATGTGATAAATAAACTTACCAGCTTATGATCAAACGCATCAGATTCGGAGGCTATATTTTCAGCTCCAATTCTCAATGGCCTTGATTCGGGCACGGGCACCATCCACAATCTGTTAAAAATTTCTTGATCATTATGACATGGATATCTTAAACCACCAATGCCAAGTTTTCTCGACATTTAACCTCAAGCAAATCAAACAATGCAATTGTAGAGAACATCAACAAATAGAAATGCAAACACATTCGTCATTGCCCATCTTTCCCGTTGATGACACAAAACGTATTAGAAACAAACTACACACTGTGCCTCAAAGAACAAAATTTTAACAAAACCAGATAAAGAAACTCAAATTTCTTAAGATATAATCAGTGAGCCCAAATTCCAAACATAGAATAATCACCCAATTAACATAAACTGGCCATCATTAACCTGTTAAACACACAGAATTTAAAATAGTTTCCTCAGATTCTTCCACAAAAAGCTACCTAATCATGGGGTTTCAAGCATTTGGTCAAAAATGCATAATGTACTCATAACAAGCACAGGAGTTAATCAAAAACTGCTAATTTACAGCAAACAGTAAAACCCCATCTGAGAAATTTACCTGTTGGTAAATAAAACTCCAGCACAGAAGCTGCAGAAGCAAAGCAAAAGAGCCCAGTTCCTTGATATCACATTCCTCACTATTACCTCTCCTCCCCATCCTCTGCTCTTCACAGACATTTCCTTCCGGCAATGCTAAAAACACACACACACACACACACACACACAATCAAAAAATTGAGAAACAAACAACAAATTTCAGGGAAATTCGAAAATAATCCAAACCCAGAAAAAAAATTGAAAAAATAAAAGCTCTTTGAAAATTTGGAAGGTGAAAGCTACCTGCTTGAGACACTTTTGGACACACACACGCTCTCTCTTTTCCTCTGTAAGAGACGAGATGTGCAGTGAGAAAGACCCACCAACTGCCCTCTTTAATATGCCAAATTACTGAAACGTCCTCATTCATTCTCCATGTAAATAAACTGCAAACACCTTCATGTTGTTTGACCAAAAAGTCTTTATTTTCAATGGTACGTCAAACCCAGGGAATATGAAAAATGGTAGTTTATTTAATAAATTGCATTAAATTACATTGATTATGGTTTAATTATTCATGAACTAGCCAAATGTGTGTGTGCAAATTCATGTTGTCGGTTTCAGTTCATTCGGTTTCCATATTGTGTCATCAGATTCAAGACTGTTTCATATCTGAGTAACTTCATAACTCACATGTATGTGTTTGAGTAACTTAAGGTAACTTAGTATATGTACCGATAGGATTCGGATTTCCTGCTCCTTTTTTTTTAGTGTTGATTTCCCGCTTTTTATTTCAGTTTGTTTTTAGGAATTCAAATTCTCTCTGGCTCTCGCAGTTTGGAGTTGATGGATCGAGAAATTTGGATTGTTCAAGAGACTGAGAGAGATCCAGACCCTATGGGTGGGCTAATCGAGGCCGAAGGATATTAAATGAGGGTTTGAATCTCCAAATCCATCGGTTGTCCTATACAGAGACTCAGAGACCTCGATTCCTCTTTGCATATTTACTCAATTTTAAAGAAGAAACTAACAATGCGATCTGGTAGAATTTCAACTCTTCACCTCTAATATCATTGCATAGAAAAAATTTCAACTAGCTGCCATAATATAGTAGCAGTGGTAGTGCGTTTGCTTCGTAAGCAAAAGGTCGATGGTTCAATCCTCACTCGGAGCTAGTTTCATATTTGTTCTCTCTTAATTTTTAAGAGAACATGACACATTGGTGCATATTCAGGACTTGGGATCCAACGATGTTCCTCCCTTGATCAAAAAGGTAACCCAACTCGAAAAGTTTGCAAGATTTTTGTGGGAATTTGAGTGGTTAGAAAACCTGCAAGCACGAATGAAAGGTGAAAACTCAATAGTGCCATTGTTGCATTTGTATTCTAGTAGAGGAGTAGCCAATTATTTATTGGAGCTGGCTGCATATACCCAGGAAATTATGGTATCTTTACCGCTTCACTGTTTTACGCACCTGCCGTGCTAACAATTTAAAATATTACATGAAGTGAAAGAGAGTTCATAAAAAATCCGACTTTGAAAGAATCATCTTAGCGGAGATCATCTTTGAGAGATACCAAAAAACTAGAATCAGTCCAACAAGGTGGAGCAAGGTGAATCCACTCTTGAATTTTTTTTACGTACTTTGGTGTCCCTCATTCGAATAAACAGTTCGGAATAGATTTATTTTTACTGCGCATGCAAAAGATAATACGAAAACTTGAACATTTTCTACTAAATCAATTTTAGTGTCATTTTCTTCGCATCACAGAAAAAAGGTTTGTGAAATTTCTTTCGAAAAACTCAATTCAAGTTAACATCGATGATCGTTTATCGGTTTTTGCTGATTTCTAACCAAATTATGAACAATCGCATTGCTCCTAATTATTGTGAAGCTATACTTAAGATTTTTATTCAATTTTTTTACCATTTTAGAGGAGGATAACTTGTGATTTTGGCCCACCGCTATCATTCATTATTTTTCTTCTATAAAAATAAAAAAAAGTTTAAAGAATTACTCAATGAGGTCAACAAATGCAAAATTAAAATTTAAGAAGCATCAAGATTTTCTAATTCCTTGTTTACTTGACTAGTAGTGACCACCATACAAAATCTCAGAGGCTGCCAAATGGTTCTTAATTCCATTTTTTTCACTTGAAGCACCTCTGATTTTCTCTTAGCCACAAGACTCTCCACCTCGTTCCACTTCCATACAAAAGAAATGAGCACTTGAAATATAGAACGACTTACCTAAGCCGGTTAACTAACATTTCTAAACATTGACGTTATATTAATTGGACGGACTTGTTCCAAATAATTACTCTAAAAAACCAGTTTTAGTCAAAATGGCATTCCTTACTTTGCTGAGGTCTCTTCCTTTGAGTGTTCTTCCAATCCCTTCGCACACAGAGAATGATGAAATCTGGCTTCTTGCAAGCTTTCTGGCAAGCCATTCATGTGGAGGAACCATGCCATCATCATCGCCACCATCATCATTATCACCACCATCACCATTACCATTACCATCACCATCGCCATCACCATTGACACCATGCACATCACCATCATCATGGTGATGAACCCAAGAACCGATCTTCGCACTCTTGCCATAAATTTTTGACCAATCAGGGATTGCCACTGGAGCAGATTTTTGGACTTCATGGACAGCTGGAGGATTACTATTGGCGCTTGGGATTGTTCTTAGAGCAGTAGGGAGGCGCCATGCAGATGCAGAGGAGGACGAAGGCGAAGAAGAAAAAGAAGCAGCAGCAGTAACAGGTGAGTTATTATTATGAGACTTCACAAAACTCCACACATCTTCTTCTTCAAAATCTTCATTATTTCTTCCCCCACCAAAACCACTGGGTTTGCTCATCATACCACTCCAATCTGTCATTGGTGGGTTGCTCTGAAAAACATCCAAAAGTTGAAGTTAAGTGCTTTTAGAAACAACCAACCAAAGAGAGACAGAGAGAGATTGAGAGAGAAATGACTGAGAGCAAAAATGAACACTTACTTTCTGTATAATTAAGGAGAATTATTTACAGTTGGTTGTCACTTGGCATTGGTAAGAGACAAAACCTTTATTTTTATTTATTTCTTGGGATGCAAAAATCAGAAAGGTGCAAGAGAGAATAATATCAGGAATCTACGTATCAATACCAGAAATTAAAATAAGGATAATACATGTCTATCATCCTTGTAGAAATTTCATAATTATATATGTTCAATTTGTTAATTTTTATTTGAGGATAATGCTTATAAAAAGTCAAAATGTATAAAAGATAAATAGACGTTTTATTATGAACTCTTTTGATTTATTTAATACATGTTGATGATTAAATAATTTTAGATTTAAATTATTTTTTACTGAGATAATTTCAAGTAAAAATTAAGAAATAAACGATTTTCTATGTTAAAAAGAAAATGCCTACATTATAAAATATCAAATAGAGATAGCACCAAAAACCTAACGAGGACAAAGGAGAAGCAGTGATTGTGAAAACCCTTTTCAAGTTTTCCCCTGATGGCCTTTTTCCAACAGGATTCGGATCCCCTGCTGATCTTTAAAAATTGAGTTTGCTGAGCAAGCAGTCGTGGTCCTTGAAATTTGATCTAACGGTTACAAATATAGAATTCTTTAAAAGTTATAATAATTGTAACCGTTTGATCAAATTTTAAAGATCAGGATCATCTGCTCGGCAGGCTCAATTTTGTCAGGAAAGGATCCGGATCCTTTCAAACAAACTTCCAAAAGAAAGATCACAGATTTCAAAGACCCTGCAGTACACAGAGGAAGAAGACAAAAAACAACAAAAACGATATAATACTAACAATAATAATAAAGAATGGCATGGTAGTTGCTAGCGAGCTATCATTGATCAGATACTGCTACTGTGATTTCCGAAACGAAAGGAAAAATAAACAAAAAGAAAATGATGAGAATCTCAGTTCTTTTATAATTTACCTGAAAATGGTCAGTGTGGAGGTTGATTTATCAGAAAAAACCAGAAGCCCAAGGAAAGGAGTGGCCAGAAGTAGATAAAAGATGGAACTTCGGGTGGATTGCGAAACAGGGGAGGTGTATTTAGCAAACCGAGAAACCAGATCATGATAATATCAGAAGCATTTTTTACGATCCATGCGAAAAAAGAGTCAGTGCTGCATGCTGAAGAGACTTTGCCTCTCACACACATATATTTCTATGTATGCAAATACATAAAATAAAATAAAAAAGTTGGATTATTAAATATGTATTTATGGTGATGGGAAGGGTGGAGAAGAAGTATTGGTCTGCACCAGAAAACTTGTCACTGATTTCCGTAAAAACCTTATCCTCTCAACTCACTCACTCACTAACTACAACTCAGCTCATCATCCGGCGTTACAACGAAGGAAAAGGCTCGCTCATTAGTGGCTGCGAGGGAAAGTGTGAAGCAACTTTTATATGGAGGTTGTCTAGTAGTTGGTGCTTTTTTAATTAACAAGTTGTTATTGATTAGGGTTAATTTCAGGACGAAATTATTTGTAGAATACTTCTTATAACAGTATAACATTCATTTTTGTATTTTAGCCACGCTGATCCTACTTGAGAGCTGAGAGATGTTCAAGTAAAACAACCGTACAGAAAAAACACTAAAAAATAAGAAAAATTTGGATAATACTGCTAGAATGCGTTATTCGTAAGAAACCTATCAAAACTGAACGATGAATATATATACTTAATGGAAAATGCCCTTATCACGTAGCCCTAGCAAGAAAAATCATCTCGTAACAAGCACTAAAGCATTTGGTTGACTGTGACTTCTACTTTTCTAAGTCTATTTCTTATTCTTCTTTCGATGCGTCATGAGTTTTGAGATTATTTAAAAAGAAAATTAATAAAAGAAATTTTGAAAATTTTGAGTTTTAACGACAATAACAAAATAAAGGGTAAAGTGAATAATATCAAAATTGATTTTTTGGTATAAAAATATGATTTTTCGTTAAAATGAACAATACCATAGATTTTCCGTTAAAATTTCCTTATTTCAAATGCAAACAGCCAGAGAGAGAGAGAGAGAGAGAGAGAGAGAGAGAGAGAGAGAGAGGAGCAAATAAAGGCACTGTAGGTGCTGCCAATGTGAAGGGTCTTCTCAAACTCAGTAAGATCTGTTGGACACTGACCGAAGAGGAGGCCATCTGTGGTTGTGGGTCTAATTGACCCACATCTGTGGCTGTGGATCAGGATCCTCTCCTGATCTTTGTATGGGGATCCTTACGATCAAGAAATGTGAATCATTGGATGAAAATTCAACGGTTATAATTATTATAATTTTAAAGGAATTTTCTGTTTGTAATCATTAAATTTTCATCTAACAGTCCACATTTCTTGGTCATAAAGATCCCTATACAAAGATCAGAAGAGGATCCTGATCCGGTCAATCAACGTTCTCATTCGGTGTTTGCAGTCACATCCTTCATCCGTATGTGCACATCTGACTTTGCCATTTTACCCTCCGTTATGCTAACTTAACTAGCTAGGAGAGGTGAGGTAATCTTTGGTTGCTGATGAGGAGACAACACAAACCAACAAACACAAGTTTAAACTTCTGTGTAAAATCCAAGAAGTAACAACTTATTTTTATGAGAAAAGTTTCATGTAACAGACGTTACCTTTGCTCACACTTTGAGTTTGAGTTTATCATGTATTTTGAATTTGTCATAGTGCGTGAATTGAGCCACTGTCATCTTTGCATGTAAATTTTTCTCATTTTTAAATTTTTAGAACTCTCGTTATTTCTCATCATGTTCATAAGTTATTACGATCTCATGTCTTCTTGGCTAATCCAAATCATTAGTTTGCTTGCAAGTTTGCCAAAGAATGAATCTTTGTTTGTTTTGTCGGATTTGGATTCCATCCAGATCCAAATTGTGGGGATCCTAGGGATCCTCACATCCTAATCGTTTATTGTACATCGTGTAGCTAAAAATTAGTTTGAATTTTTTTATTTAAAATTAAGCACAAATAGTACCTAATGAAAATTGATTGCACGATACACGATGAATGACCACAATATGAGGATTCTTAAGATCTCCACAAAGAGGATCCTCATCCTGTTTTGTCGTCCTACAATACGAAAAGAACTTGTATGAAATATTTATATACGTTGTTATTATAGCATTCCGATTTAATATTCTAACATCTTACCTAATGGTGACAGTATGCATGCAAGTCTCTATCTTCGTATACAGAATCCTTGGTTCCCATGGATACCAGCAACCATTAGATAATTTGATAATAATTAACTCAATCTGCAAGTTGATGCACGTCAAAACTATGCTACAGTACTAATCGAACTCGTAGTGTATATATAGTATGCCTAATTCAGTAGAGAAGATTTTTTGCAGTATTGGAACCTGATAATACGCATAACCGAATTGCTTCACTTCTGGCTCTTGTAGAAGTAGAAGCAGTTCTAGGGAATGTAACCTTATCCTCTCCTCAAACTGAAGCCTTCTAGCCTTCTAGTGGAAAGTGAATTAGAAAGTCTGCCTGCCTTGAGTGATATGACTCACCATGTTAGTAGAAAACTTGCTCAAAACATTTGAATGCAGTATGTTGTATGAGAAATGCTAAGGAGACTCCCTAAAATGGTGGACTCTTTATAAGTTTTAGGTAAGTGTATGTTTTTAACATAATATTTTATAGTGTTGACATGAATCTACGTTGAAGCTTTTTGAGAATGATGTGCAATTAACTTGTTTTTGTTCAAGATTATTATTTTTAATTCCATCATAAGATATTGGAAAGTTAAAGTATTTAACGGTAATAAAAAAGATGGACGGTGAACATTACCATTATTTTTTAGTGATGAACAAACATAAAAGTATAATTAATTAATTATGAAACATGTCGATTGATGAAATTATTAACTTTTCATTGGGTGATAGTCGTCCTGATTAGTTTTTCTTTAATTTAAAGTTCAAGTTTTTCTTGATTCTTTCGTACGATTATAAAGCTATTATTCCATGTTCCCAAATGATCAAACATAATCTATCAAAATAAGGATTAAAATATCATTAAGCTTCTTGATCTGCTGAATTGCCTAGAATAGATGAAAGTCTAATGTATCATTAAGTTTATACACCTAATTAACTATCTTTGATCACGTGATGAATAAATGTATAAACTCAGTGGCACAACAAAACCTCTCGTATAGTAAATCACGTACAATGCATGACAATATAACTAGTGGTGCACGAGCTGAAGTCATATATTGCTTTGCTTACTAGGATTTCAATTTCAAGAGTAGAATCATGTACATGGAATCCAAGTAAGAAGCATTTTGTGGAGAAAATCGACTTATCAGAGCTTTCTCTAATGATTGAAGAACGAACTCAACTCCCACCATCCAAAGAGGATCTGCTTGATTTGAAAGTACTTATAGAATAAGCACACTCAGATTCTTGACCTGTTTATTCTCCATCTGTTTCCTTTTGAGGAAGAAAAATGTGAGAGTGGGAAATAAAGCACCCACTGAATATTGCATGCGTTCTAAATTCAGTCTCAATATTAGTCCATCACCAGTCCGTGTATATACCCAACAGGATTCTATTCGGATCCTTTCGGTGAGGATTCTGGGAATCCGTAAATCGTGTTCGTTCATCGTATATCGTGCGGTCAGTTTTTGTCAAGTGTTGTTTGTGTTTAATTTAAATAAAAATATTTAAAATAATTTCTAACCGCATGATATACGATAAACATAAAAGATTAAAAGATTTCCTGAATCCTCACAAAAAGAATCCGACGAGGATCCAAGTTCTATATATACGGTCAAGTCATAAGACTTAATTTTCACAAGGTTGGTCGCTTCAATGCTTGAAAGTCATGAAAGCAAATTTGATGGCCAATAAGAAAAAGTTTGATTGCTTTCCTAACTTGGGGCCCTTTTTTTTTTTTTTTTGGTTAGGAAAACTAATTAAAATGGTTTGAAAATTTTGAGTTTTAATCAAAATGATAAAAATGTGTTGTAAGTGAATAGTACCATGAGTGACTTTTTAGAGTAAAAATGTCATTTTTGTTAAAAGTGAACAGTACCGGAAGTGTTTCTTTAAAACTCTATTTTTGTATGCACTATGAAGCAGACTTGTCAAACAAGGACAAAGATCCCAGCCGAATCTCCCCCACCAAATCCTAAGGATCCAGATCCTTGAAATTTGATCTAACGGCTATAATTATTATCACTTTTAGAAGGATCCCCCTGTTTGTAGCCGTTGGATCAAATTTCAATGGTCCGGATCTTCGAATCCTTAGGATTTGGTGGGGTGAGATCTGGCTGGGATCCCTGTCCGTCAAACAAATCATGTTTGTCTTGTTCGTGTCATATCCGTTATCTTAATGTGTCATATCGTGTTATGTTTTATCATACCCGTTATCTTAACGGGTTCTTAACAAGTGATCCGATAACGACTCGATTCGTTAACGAGTCATGTCGTTTTGTGTCGAATTAACTGGTCATGCAAGAATTGGCTTAATGTGTATATCTGGCAAACGATGTCTTATTGGGTTCATAACGACTCGACTCGATAACGACCCAACTCGTTAACGGGTGATCCGATAATGCCCGACTCGTTAACAGGTTGGCCTGAAATATATTATTTTCGTATCAAATTAATAGGTCATGCAAAAAATTGCCAGACCTACTATCAAGTATGAATATTAGTAAGTGCCACTCGGAACTTCTGTGAATTTTTATTTTTTTTTTATTTTTAACAAAAAATATTATCTAAGGGAGAGGAGGTGGGCTAAGCCTTCTAATGTACTAGCAATAATGTGGTTTAAATTCACCTTTGAGCGAGAATTGAACTTAAGATCTCTCACTTACAAATGAAAAGAAATACCATTAGATCGTAGTACTAAATGACTTGCCATTAACGAGATTTAAACCTAAGGTCCTAGTCATATCTCGTTACAAATCAAGTATTTTTTTTACTTTGGTATGTGAAATACCGATGTGATTAAAGTAAAAATCTTGAAAATTTCTTTATAAATTAGTTATATTAAAAAAGCTCGATTGATGCATCTCCAAAAAGTGTTCGCAAATTCCACTTTGCTACTGGAATCATCTTTTACCTAGTTTGATCTCTGAATCATATTTGATTGTCTATGTTACAGTTTACCTCACGTGGTTAAGTCCATCAAATTTCTCATCTAAGATGTTAATGTGGAGTCTGGATCACCGCTGGATCCTTTTTGTGAGGATTCCGGAAATTGTGGGGATCTGTAAATTTTGTCCGTTCATCATACATTATGTGGTTAGAAATCATTTTAAATATTTTTATTTAAAAATAAACATAAACAGTATTTGACAAAAACTGACCGCACGATGTACGATGAA